GGTTCTTTGTCATTGTGGTCATGTATTCTGGCACTCTTTTGGTTCACAACTTTTTCTTGGTGGATCTTTGATCTTGTCTTTTGTTATCCTAGGTCTTTCTCTAATTCATTTCTTTTACTCGTCTCACTTTTTCTTTCTTCCTAGCTTTTTCATCCATTCTGTCTTCATTGCGATGTCAAACTCCATTATAGTGATGCAGAATTTCAGCACAACTTGCCAGTTTGGTAACTTCTAGGTGGATGTGTTGCTCATGATTGTCTTTGTTCTTTTTCTCTCTATTATCTTTTATTTTCAAATAGTTTCTTTGCTTTCCTTACTTTCACAGATTCATTGTCTGTCTTGTCATGATGTTTTGATTTCATGTGATGTTTATGCAATATCTTGGTTTGTCGGTCTTGCAGCTTTGAATGGCTTTTTTTGATGTCTTGTAAGTGGGTCTGTGGCATTTCTTTTGGCTTTCTCTTTCTTGGAAAATGGCGATATAAATTGAATGCTGTTTTCGCATTGATTTTGCGACTTTCTTTGGTGGCATCGTCGGTGTCATCTGGTGATCTAACATATACTTTCATGACATAACTTAATGTTCTATGCCCATGCACTAGATAATTAGACTCCAATATACATGCTAGTTATCTACGCAAACTCAATTGACTGGATAAACTTATGGAATATAAATATGTTATTGGTTGCTTTAAGGTTTATATATCATATTGTATATACTGTGTTATGATGATCATCACATCGCAATTTTGCCATTTGTCAGTTTGTCTTTCATCAATTTTGATTAAATCTATTGCCTCAATTGCAATTTCAGTATATTGTGTGTATAAAATATATGTGTAAGTATGTGTATATATAGAAGAATCTTTTTTCTACTATTCTCCAAACAATAGAAAAGTATTTTTGTTTCCAGCAAGCAAATAATTCAAGATTTATATCTCCAATTGATATTAAATTTGAATCAATTAAATCAAATTTAACTGCTACAACTCTAACCCATTCATTATATGCTTAATCAAATAATACAGGTAAATTAATTTTAAGTTCATAAACAAATTTTTAACTACACAAATTTCTTTAATTTGGAATTAATCTCTAAAAAAAAATATTATTATTATTATTATTATTTTAAGGTAAAGGGTGCTAGATGCATTGTATTTTTATTGAGAATTTATATCCAATTACATGTGCATCAAAGATCTATCTAAATTAACTTATACCTTCCACCTATTTAATCCAGCTATATAAACTTATACTTAAATAGTGAATCTACTTGTCAGATGGGACTAAGTCAGGAGGTGAAAATCCTACTATCAGTTTTAAATCACCTAACCTGTTAGTCCAAATTTGTTAAAGACATTTTAAGGAATCTTAAATCTTAATACATGCCAATAATCAATAATCTTCCTTTTCACATTATGTTTTATAGCTTACGCACCAAGGGAATCAAAGGTATTAACATAAGTATGCACTTCCTAATAAATGCTCTGAAAGTGAATCCTTTAATTGATTATTGCTATCAAATCTAGGGGCCTAAATGGTCAAGTGGGATATGACTCCTGAATCTTTTAGTAGACACTTCAAAGGCTTTCAGTTGGTATAAGCTATTTGTAACAAATCTATAGACATCTGATATAAACCCCGATTTTCTCCTCAAAGTTAGGTTACAATCTCTCAAACATTCTTAAAAGACTATAGGTATTTTAATGAGAAAAATATCTTTTATTATTGGCCAGAAAGATATTGTCAACACCGATTTCTCAATAATCAAGGATTCTGACCTCTGGCCGAATAATACTAATGATTAGACTAAAACATATATATGGAGTCACATGACATCTGCCGATCCCGAAGCTCCAAAGTGATGCGAAACCCGAACTTATAGTAATTATTAATTCTAACATAATAGACATAGAAATTACCAATTAACATATGTTATTAATTACTGTTTGACATAAAAGGATAATAGAATATTATTAATGTGTTTATTTAACATTGTATTTTATTTATTATATTATATTATTTCTTTTTCTTTATTATTTCATTTATTATGCATATGATCTTCTGGGAGAACCATTAAGATTATATGTATATTATTCTTTATGTATTTTTATTATATTTATTTATATTGGAAAAACATATATTTAAAGGCTGTACTTTTCCTTTAATTATCTTTAAAATTGTTTGCTTCACTCTTATATTAATAAAGTTTTCCTTAATTAATAATAAACTATTGATGATGACTATAAACTTCCCTTAAACTATTATATTTGGTAGCAGCAAATGCTTCTTTTATTTCTTTTATTTCTTCTTTCTTGAATTTTTCTTGCTTCTTTAAAGGAATTCTTCTTTTTTTTCTTTTCTTGGACAATTCTTCTTCTTTTCTTCACCTATTTTTTTTTTCATATCACACGAAGGTTTATCCAAGGTTATACAAAGGCCATCAAAGATCACATGAAATGAACTTGAAGCCAAATTAAAGGAAATCACAAGGACATTGCAAAGGAAGTACAATCGTATTGCAAAGGTTATACCATAGGAAGGCCGCATCCAAAGGATCTACAAAGGTTTTACAAAGGTCTGACGAAGGACACCTGCAGGATCTATAAACAGGTTGCCAATTACAAGAATAAAATATTATTATTTGCTTGAGTAATTTCATAAAGCCATTATATAGCTATAGACAACCTTGATTCTTTTGAATCCATAGTATATACTGGTTAAAAGCTGGTCAGTTATGAAGTACAAATTTGTAGCAGGATGATATTTGAGACTATAATATTTTATGAAATTAAAAAAGTGATTAATATTATTTTTATATTGTTGTCTGAATTATACTTTTGATATTATACTTATCTTTTTACATAAGTATATCTAATTGTATAAGGAATTTTGAAATATCTTTTTGCTACAGTATAAAATAATAGCACCCAGGCTATACGACGTAGACATAGATACTATTATAGCTCAATCCTCAATTTGCCTCAATACAAGTATCATTGAACCCTTGAATGGAGAAAGAAATCTGAAAACTAAGACGCAAGCAAGAAATACAGTACAATGAAAAGGGCCCACTAAGCTCTTCTCTTTCATTACAGCTGGCCTATAAAGTATACTTAGCGACTACTGTATTTCTTGTAATGAATTCATGAAACTAGATTGAACAGAACAAAATATCAAGATTAAAAAGGTAAACCTCTAGCTGAATTCAAAGGTAGAAAAGGACTGGTTGAAAGAAATAGAGGCAGAAGTTCCTAAAAGTCGAAGGAGTTCCTTCAATTGAGCCATTCTGTTCTTCAAATTGAAGTTTTCCAACTCCAACTCTCTATTGCGACAGTGAAAGACTCGAGCATCTGAAAGTTTTTCAAGTCTGTTTGTAACTTGGAAACCTCTTCTTTCAATTTAATAATCTCTTCTTGCAAGGCCTTAATCTTTTTTCTATGATGTGCCAAGTGCTTCAAAATTTTAACTCTTTCTTGAAGCACTACTATGATCTCCCAGGCAGGATTTTTCTGGCCAGAGCGAGTGAGGCAAGCAACTTTGAACATACAGTTTTCTCTGGACATGGTGTTTTCTTTTGATAATAATTTGAAGATTTGTTGGAAAAATTTTTCTTCAGGACATTGTGCAATTAAATACAAACATGCTGGAAACTTTTTCACCACAAGTAAAAATTTGGGGGCAACAAAAAAGGATATAACACATGGCAACGTATGAGCAATAATAATAACAAT